AAACGCATTTAGGCAGATCGGGGGCGCATTCCCTTCAAAAACAAACGTAATCCACTGCGTCTTCAGTGGCTCAGATGTCGGGAGTAAATGACGACTGCTATGTTCATTATTACATCCAACAACAAAACACCTCAATCGCTCAGGAGTCATTCTGGTCTACAACCGCTCCGGCGTCGAAACAATAGAGGACTGATGACAGCTCACTCAGGGCGGGTCTAAGGTAAAACACCAGTGTCAATCAATGGACCTTTTTCACATTTCCGGGTTTCTCAGCAGCGGAAGTCGTCATAGTTGGGTTAACTTGAAGAGTAGTGAATGAGAGAGTACCACATTTTTTTGCATTCCCACTTGCTCAAATAGCAAAAGAAAAACTCCACGATAGTGTTTTCCCGACTTTCAATAAAAGGAAAAGAATTGAGACAGACTGATGACGGCAGTCAGAAGAGAGAACGATGTCAAATTTACCATCCCTTCCAAAGACGCTGCATTAGAAACACCATCGCATTAGCGTTAACTAGTTTTTTTTTTGTAATTTGATGCAAAGGTAATATAATGCAAAGAATAGTGTTATAATTGTACATACATTTAAAAAAAAAAAAATACAAATGAAAAACTTCAGAGGATTTACGACGCTGATGACCGTTAAACGCGTCATCACAGTCTTGTGAAAAGGGTCCACAATCGTGGGAGGGGCCTGGGTCTGTGTGACGTCACACTGCCAAGAATATGAGATCAGCTTGATATGAGAAAGGGATTATTCATTTATTGGGATAAAAAAAAAAATTTTTTTTTTTTTAAAACACTGGGTGGATTTTTATCATTATATGGTGGTTGAGTACACACACTGCCAACACACATTTATGTAAAAAAAAAAAGTAAAAGTGAATTTTGCATCCGATGACCCCTTTAAGACGTAAGGCATAAATGAACATACGGGCCACGGCACTGATCAGATGCACTGGGTATTTCTGAAGCTGATTTAGAAGCTAGTGTAACACGGCTAATATTTGGCTGTTTAACAGATCATTTGAGATCTACAGCACCAATGACACTTTCCCATTCTCCTGATCAAGCGCGTGTGCAACTGCAAACAGGTTTCCAGCGAAACCGATCGTACCCTCAAGGAAGCCACTGCAGAGGAACTAATGTGATAGTGAGCTGCAACTCATCACTGCTTACAAAGCTGTTTGCATGCTGTCAAAGTATGTTTAGGTATGCAATAGGGCTGTGCGATATTGAAGAAAAATGCGATATGCGATACCTTGTTAAAAAATGCGATATTCGATATGCGATACGATATTTCTTAAAGTGTGTAAAATCAATTTAAATTATATTTTAAAATATGTAAAAATGAAAATTATATAACCAATTTGTATCACATTCTTTCTTGGAAAAGAATCACTATAACTTCTGAAAGTGACCAGCAGTGTTTTAGCATTACATAAAAAGTAATGTCACAAATCAGAAAATGTAATTTTAACATCAATGTGAACATACAAACAAAAATATTAATGACACTAATTTTATATCATTGTAACTTTGCTTTCCACACACTTTAAGTACTTCTTCATATACCACAGCAAAAACTATAGTCTTTGACCTTTTGCAACATTTTGATTTAAGTAGGCTATTATTAAAATGATTCAGATATCGCACGCCGTTGCGATATGCATATTGCGATATTTACATTTGCGATAATTTCGATAATTTCAATATATCGTGCAGCCCTAGTATGCAATATCCTGCAAGTTTTAGAACTAAAACACATACTGGATTGATTTATCAGTCTCAGTGGACACATCATAGACTGGATCACTATGATGTCTGAGATTGAGGAAAGGCACGTTTACATGTGATTTCCAAACAAATGCTGGAGGAAGAAGCTGAAAAACTGTCTCTCATAAACCTAAGCTACTCGTCTGGTGTTGGAATAGCTGGAGGTGCTGGTGAACCTCTCATTTAAAGCCCAAACAGATTGCTGGGAAAACAACACCAGTCGTTTGAGTGCGCAGCTCCGAATGTGGTGAGTGTGGACTGAACGAGAGCCTTTCAGTGGGAAGTTATGCAACAGGCGTGTAGGAAGATGAGGTCAGTGAGGAGAGGCCAACACAAGCGCTTCATAGTCCAGAGCAGCAGATGGGACGGAGACCTCAGACCCTCGAATCAGCCCCAAAGGCCATAAATCTGTCAGAGACCAATCCACAAATAGGCCACTGATGGTCAGCGAGCATCTCGAAGGTCCAAACGTGAGTTCAGCTCCAATCCCGCAGGTCTCTTTTCCTCTTTGAGTCTGAACCGTCATCGGTGTGAGACCTAGCAGCAGCTGTAGCTAGTTAAGCGCTGGGGTTTACCACAAAAACACATTGCTGCTGATGAGAAGAACGCCAGCTGCTCTCTGAAGATCATTTATTTGGAGACTAGCAGCAATGAGGAATGCATCACGCAATAATAAGCGAGCAGGAGCATGCAAACATAATTACATCAATAGCGGTTCACAGCAATGTGGAATTGTATGCCAATCCACCCCAAACCACCTTTTCTAGCAGACTTGAGTGCAGTTCGCTGGTAAGGAACAGGCTGACCGTCCAATCACAGTGCTCCATTCCTCACCAGCTGCATTTATTTCCAGCTTCTTTGAGCTCTCAGTGTGTTTGTGTTGAAGGCTGAGGTTATTCACTCATCTCACTCCCACTGATGCTAGCAGGCGTTCGCTACACTGTAACGCTAACCAGGAGCATTCAGGTTTGTACTGCATATGACTCACCGTCAATGGGTAGGCGGTCAGTTTTCAGTACACTTAGGACAGGACTGATTTAGCCAACGCTCCACTGAAGAGACAATACAACAGCGCTGGTATGAACAGATCATCATCACTTCTGCGATGTGATTAATTCATTCATTTGCACAACGAGAGCAGGACAACATACACTTTGACCCATTGAACAAAGGCATATTTCACAAACGCTGGTTGTCATGTGAAGTGCCTTGAAGAATAAACTTACATTTTACGCATTTATTTGCATGTATTCATTTGACAGACACTTCTATCCAAAGCGACATACACTGCATTCAAGAAATCAAGGCATGACCTTGTCATTGCTAGCACCAAATCAGTAAATTCACAGAACGTCACAGAAATCAGTAAATTCTCAGCACATAGAAACTCTTTCACCTAGATATCACACTATTGAGACTGTGTCTGTTCCCCGAACTAGAAAATACAAAAAACGTAACAATTTAATTTATGTTCAACAAATAAAAAACAGATGTAATACGGATAAACAAATGATAAAGCTTGGCTTATTGCATATCAGGTGCCTTTCTACGAAAGCACTTTTTGTAAATGATATGATCACTGAAAATGAGTGTTTACTATTGTCACTTTGCATTATTGACACACTATATTCCTAATTAATGCTGTACAGTTGCTTTGACACAATCTGTATTGTTAGAAGCGCTATATAAATAAAGGTGACTTGACTTGACCAAATCTCTATGTGCATCATGTAATAATGTGTCTTTTGGAGCAACCTGCCTGTTGATTTAGTGCAGCAAGAAGGGTGTCCAAAACTACTAATTTGGGGCACTATGAATTCCGTTAAATTTTTTTTTCCAAATTCCACTATTATTTTTATTTTTCTGGATTCCGTTTTTTTTTTCTCTATTTTAATTTTTCTGGACTCTTTTTTAATGGTTAAATTACATTTTATTAATAAAAAAGCACGTCTAATTAATACAAATCATGAAACATAAATACAATTTAACAAATTTATTAAAAGTTTAATAAAAATTAAATTTTTAGAGCCCTATGCAATGTTTTATTTATTCTTATGTTCTGTTTTATTGTTGCCAAATTCTGTGTTTAAGCATCTGGTCACACTTTACTTTAAGGTCCAGTTTTCGCTATTAACAAACCATTAACTACGACTTTTGCCTCAATAAACTCCCAATTTGATGCGTATTAATAGTTAGTAAGGTAGTTGTTAAGTTTAGGTATTGGGCAGGATGAGGGATGTAGAATATGCTCATAGAAAATGTTCGTAGAATATGTGCTTTATAAGAACTAATAAATAGTCATGCTAATAAGCAACTAGCTAATAGTGAGAATTGGTCTCTATACTAAAGTGTTACCCTGCATGTTTAATTGTTTGAATGCATAAAAACAACTTTATTAAAATGTATTTTTACAATAGTCCTATGAATAGTTTTTTTTTTTTTTCCAGAAATTCTGTGTTGTGTATTTAAATTTTTTCTGGTTACTAAATGAAGGCATAAAACTAAATGAAATGAAAATTAAATAAAACTTTGTTTTTGTCAAACAAAAAGGGTTTACTATTAAAATGAAAACATTAAAGAAATATAGTGTCATTATTCTTTAAAAAATAAAGTTTTAATAATTCATTATGAGTAGTAGTAGTATTACGTACATTCTACTGCACAATAATAATATATTTCTGTCACAATTTCTTCAAGTTAAACTGAATTTTTATTTTGACGTGTTGTCTTTAAGTTTCTGTTTGTATTTGATATGATGCTAGTTTTACTCAAATGAAAGGCTAAAATGCTCATGAAGTGACTCTCAGAGCAGTTCTGGAGATGTTGTTCATATATTTAGTGAGACGACAGACGCTGAAATCACCGTGAGGGTCGTGCGCTTACAGTATGTGTGTAGTAAACGAAACCGCGCGTCTGCACCATTCATTCACACAGAGAAACGCAGAACATGCAGGATTCATATTTAAATAGACTTTTTGCAGCTTAATATTTACAAATACTAGTCCATATCGCGATTTATTCATCCAAAATTTGACCAATTCCGTGGCATTCCGTGTCATACAGCAAATTCCATTTTTATGATACCATGATTCCTTCTGTGTTTTCTGTATCATGGAAGCCCTGTCATTTTCAAAGTTCATTGAAAAGTAGTGGAAAGGTCCATGTTCACCTTACGTAAATGGCTCGGTCTTGCGCATACAGCATGTTTCTGATGCAGCGCAGCTTCACTTACTACACAACACAGCCGCACTGGGACGCAGTTTGAGGACAGCACAGAAAAAGAGTGGTCTAGTGTCAGAAGGTAAAGCTCGGCGTGTCACCTGATGGCCGTGGAGCGTGTACAGCAGTCGGCCCTCCAGCAGGTCCAGGATCTTCAGCGTGGAGTCACTGGAGGCCGTGATCAGGTAGTTTCCAGACGGATGGAAGGACAGGCTGTTCACCGTCGCACTGTGAACTGAGAGAGCACAACCATTACTCACTAGGGCTGTGCAATTAATCGAAATATGGTTTTGATTTTGATTTCTGCCTCCAACGATTATGAAAATACAGTAATCGAGATAAAATGATTATTGCGCCCCATTCCGGTACGGTTTCGCTCCTCCATAAAAGTCCAATTTCACGTGCAAATCAGTACAATCATGTAACGTGACTTGCAAAATGGGACGTGCTTGATTTATTCAAGTGTATTAGATTTATTCATGTTTAGAGAGCTTGTGCTGTTCCTCAGGAGGATTTCGGTGCATGCGCTCAGAGACGGAACACAACACAGACATGTAAAGTCATCTTTTAGCTCAAAGTGTGCACCTAAATACACGTCAAATACACGCAAAATTGTCAAAATGCGGCGCTTAGTGATTATTCATGTAAACCCTCGTCGGTTATGTAATAAATGAAAACACGTGTGTAACAGTAAATTGGATCAGTGCCGCTCTTAAAGTGACAGCGGGCTAATATTCCTGCTGCCGACTGTGTGCTTAAATATATTAATCAAACAAGAAAATCACTCAGTGCTCTTGACTGAAGGACTTTTGTAGCTTCAATAAGAAACAAAGAAAGTGTAATTCTTACAGTGAAGACTATGCTGTTTTATTTTACATCTGATTATTCATTTCTGTAGTAGGCCGTTAACTGAATACTTTAGACTTGCATTAAAAAAACCTTAAAGCATAGCTTGCTCCATTTGTATCTTTTTATTCTATTGTATTTGTACTTTACTTTTTTATTACTGACAGTTTAAGTATTTTCAATAATTTTGAAGACTTTTGTTTGTTTGCTTTACTAATATTAGTTACCCTAGTATTCTGCTGTGGTATTGAGAATTGTAAAATTTCACTGGTCTCTAAAATGTAGATGTCATAGCAACATTATTTACAGAAAATACATATTTGACATATATCTCTATCTTTAAATAAATCACTCATATGTGAGCCTGGAGCACAAAAGCAGTGTTAAGTCGCTGGGGTATATTTGTAGCAATAGCCAACAATACATTGTATGGGTCAAAATTATCCATTTTTCTTTTATGCCAAAAATCATTAGGATATTAAGTAAAGATCATGTTCCATGAAGATATTTTGTAAATGTCCTACCGTAAATATATCAAAACTTAATTTTTGATTAGTAATATGCATTGCTAAGAATTTCCTTTGAACAACTTTAAAGATGATTTTCTCAATATTTAGATTTTTTTGCACCCTCAGATTCCAGATTTACAAATAGTTGTATCTCAGCCAAATATTGTGCTATCCTAACAAACCATACATCAATGGAAATCTGATTTATTCAGCTTTCAGGTGATGCATAAATCTCAATTTCAAAAAATTGACCCTTATGACTGGTTTTGTGCTCCAGGGTCACATATAAAGTTTTGGTCATATGGCCCACTCATAATCGTGTTAAATAATCGTGATCACAATATTGAGCAAAATAATCGTGATTATGATTTTTGCCATAATCAAGCAGCCCTACGCCTCATCCCACCAGTCCAACAGTGTGAATCACAAATATAATCAAATATAAATGCATTAATAATATTACATCATGCGGCGTCTGCGTGATATTGCACAATCTGAGCTAAGCTTGCCTTGTCATGACCTCGACACAGTTACGGCGGTCTGCAGGGATCCTACGTCATTTCATTCCTGTTTTATGATTTTTTTTTCTGCTTGTTTTTGTATACTGACTGCCTCACACGACTTTGATTTAGAGGACAATGTTTTCCAAGCATTAATAAGCAGTGAAATAAACTTTTCAGTGACATTTTTTCTACATATTTTCTAAACTATAAATAATAATAAACCTAACCTTTTCAAGAATTTAATTCTTTAAATGTTTTCTTTTTTTACTATGATATTTCACTTTACGCTCCCTAAAAATGTCAATATGAATTTTCATTAAAACATGTTAATTACAGACGAGGTGTACTGATTGTACGTGTGACCTGTGTTGAAGTATTTTTGGATAAATGAAGAGATCTACACAATAGATCCTGTGATTGTGTGCTGGATATGAGTGAGAGCAACACGCCCCCAGCAGACTAATGCAGAGACTACAGCTCAATACTATTCAAGCTGTTAATTATGATCTACAGCTCCATACTGTATCAGCTGCTGCAGACTGTGAGAGTCAATGCACACAGTTTTGAGTCTGCTAGTATGAACACATTCAAAAACAAAACCCGTCTGCACTTGTGCTCATACATCATGCCTTATGATCATGTTGAATCATGACACGTGCATTACTTTTGTAAATGTACACACTGCATATTGTGCGAGTTGGCCTGCAGCGTTTGTGCTCCAGACGTGAATCATTCCTTTTATTATACACTATTATATGCAGAAGTATATTCATGTTTTAAAGCTACGCAACTTGAAAAGTGCTGCATAAAGCATGCGGTCACATATTAACTGCCACTTTCATGGCCTGAACCTCTTTAAAAAGTCTTCATCTACACAGTTATTAACAATGGTAACACTTAATAATAATATAATGCTTAACCGATCATTAGTTTGCGTAAAGGGTGGTTAGTTATGTTTAGCTAAATGCTTAAGACATAATCCAGTGACATTTACACAGAGATCTGATCTGATCCTCATCAGTCTGTCTGGAGTCACATGAAGAAACAGAACAAACTGAGACTCAATCCAGAAGAACTGTGTCTCCGAGACGCTTCAAGAAACCTCCTGCAAACTCCTGAGAAACTCTGCTCAAGTGCACCGAGAGCAAAAGCTGCTTTAAACACAAAGATGCTCACACCAAATTTCATTCAATTAATAGAAGTTAACGGATCAAGAAAATCTGTTTTTTTACAGCATTTTTACACAAGTGCCTAAAACTTTTAACAGCACTGTAGCTTTGCATGAGGCTTCTTGAAGTGTCTCGGAGACGCAGTTCTTCTGGATTGAGTCTCAGTTTGTTCTGTTTCTTCATGTGACTCCAGACAGACTGATGATGATCAGATCACATCTCTGTGTGCAGCACAAAAATCTCACTGCATTATTACAATTAATGGCCAAATGAATGTTTGTAAAAGTAAACTGATATTTCCTACTGACACACTACAGCAAAAGATAGAAATAGCGGACTTAAAACCATTTTTAGCTGCATGGTGAGAATACTAGTGCTCTAATCATCTCGGCCCCCGCTGCTGCGGATCTGTGTTGTGCAGTGACCCTCACCTGGGTAGTGCTGCAGGAGTTTGTGTGTGCGAATGTCCCACACCTTCACGGTGTTGTCGGTGCTGGCCGCTGCGATACAGGTGCCGCTGGGGTGGAAGTCAGCGTGATGCACGTATCTGAAACAAGAGCGCAGACGCTGCTGTGACTGTGCTCCAGCGCCGGCGCTGTACAGCGGTACCCTCCACTCACCCGCCGTGCTCGCAGAACGAATGAATGCACTCCCTGCTGTTCTTGTCCCACAGCTTCACTGTCTTATCATCGCTGGCAGACACAATCAGACGCCCATCTGGTGAAAACCTACAGGATTTACGGGGAACTCGTTACAAACAGGTGCTGCTGGTTAAACACATCAAGCTCATCATGTTATTTTCTTCTCTATTCACTCTCATTTGACTGTCCTTCAAGGTCTTTTGAAAGGTATAACAGAGAAGAACAACTACTCAAATTGACCTATCGGTAAGCCCCGCCCCCTCAGTTACTGTTGCTCACTGTCTTACAATGAGAGCGGTCAGTGTGAAAACCTTGTGCCTGTATCTTTTTGAAAGATTTTGGACACAGAAGGACCACCATTCAAAGTGGGACTTAAATATGCCATGGAGGGATATTTAAAAGATTTTAAAATAAATATTGTGGGTATTAATTTGGATCACGATTGCAGATGAAAAAACCCCGGATCAACACTGTTCATGTATCGCAGGTATGTTTATATTAATTTACATTTAACCAGTTTAATCTAGAGAGGCACTGAAATGTAGACCTTCGTTCATGTGTTTTTGCCCTACACTGTACAAGGCGCGAGAACAGTCCACTATTTAGGTTTGTATGGACTCACTAACTTTAACGTTAGCTGGTTTTAGCCAGAGATACCTTGCTGAAGCACAAGATGAAAATTGTAACTTAATGAGAGTATGGCAACCAGAAAACAAACGTTTTTGTCTTCATTGGGATTGGGGGTGAATGCTTTGGGATATTTTTCCTGTTTTGTTTGGGTTTAAGAAATAGAATAAAATAAATTCCATTGCCCATCCTCTCAGGATAGCTGGAATCAGTGTTACAAGTACCCCAAGCACATCGATTTTCCATTTTTGAAGCATAAACCCCATAAAAACGATGTGAGCTTCGGATCTTCCAATGTTTCTCTATGGCGCTGAAACCTACAGATGTCCGAGTTCCGCTCCCTGTGCAACTGATACTCAACTGCCATTGGCTAGTCAGCATCCGAGGGGAGGGGCTTACCGATAGGTCAATTGTTTGTCCACGTTTACTTAAAATACAAAAGCAAACAATAAACCACAAAGTGTTGTGAAATCCAGTGATATCGTGGCGTGTTGATCTGTGCAGTAACGCACCTGACACAGCGCACCCAGTTGATGTGCTGGTTGAGGGAGAAGAGGAACTTCTGCCGGTGAACGGCCCAGACTTTGATGCTTTTGTCATCAGAAGAGGTGAGGAGCGTCTGTCCGTCACTGGAGAAGCTCACGCTGCGCACGGTTCCCGTATGCGCTCGAAACACCGTCGATTCCCCTTTCCTGACATCCACAGAACATCTCACTCTACTTCCATGCATATTCCATTAATACACATACATATGCGTCTTAGTTTTCTATCTGCAACAAAGCTTTCATCGGTTTCTTAATGTCATGTGCTTATAAATAACATCACACAAATATTATTCAAACATCTAGACTAGAGTAAGACTTTTTGTATTAATACTTTTTTGCATCATGCATTAAAAACGATAAAAAAAGTGCCAGTAAAGACATTTATATAAAGATTTCCATTTCAAATAAATGATGTTCTTTTGAAATTTCTATTCATCTGTGAATCCTGAAAAATAAAATGCATCAGTTTCCACAAAAATATCGGGCGGCACAACTGTTTTCAACATTGATCAGTGTTGGGGAAAGTTACTTTTAAAAGTAATGCATTACAATAAAGTAATGTGTTACTTTACTAGTTACTTGAAAAAAGTAATCTGATTACGTAACTCACGTTACTTGTAATGCGTTACCCCCAACACTGACATTGGTAATAATCAGAAATGTTTGTTGAGCAGCAAATCAGCATATAAGAATGATTTCTGAAGATCATGTGACACTGAAGACTGGAGTAATGATGCTGAAAATACAGCTTTTTAAAACATTTTTTACAATATTTCTGCTCAAATATATGCAGCCTTTCTGAGCAGAAGAGACTTCTTTCAAAAACATTAACACACATTACTGACCTGGTAGTGTATATACTGTAGACCAGTGTTTCCCAACCTTTTTTTTGTCGCGGCACCCTTTGGAAATTTTAACAAACTTGTGGCACCCTACAAAATTAATTTTGTCACAATATTTGAATTTCTAACTTCGATATGATCATTTGAAAAGTATAGATATTCGGTACAACAGGGAAGAACTGCAGAATATAATGTCATACAGATATTTTTAATATTATAAAAAAAAATTTGTCCATCAATGGTGGCAATCAGTAGGCTAATTTCTAATGAAAAGACCAATTTATATGACAGATTTTAATGTAGGATCTTATTCATATGTAAACATTGTGAGATAGCTAGTTATAATGGTAATTAAACAAAGTTTTGATTTTACAGCTGGGTAATTTTGTTGCAGTAGCACGAGATAGCTTGATTTCAAACTTTGAATTGAATAAAAAATGACAAGTAACCAGTCAAAATAAGAACAAATAAAGAAATTACTAATGATAGCACAAATAAAAAAAAATCACGATAGGCCTACAAATGAAATAAATTGCTTTTTAGTTTTTCAGGTAGGTCTAACAGTAGGGTTAAGATATTTAACATTTTATTTTATTTTTTTTACCAAATTATCCAAATAATGTTTAGTCCTAGAAAGCTATTAGGCTATTATCAGAACACGTGAGCATAACACGCGCAGTAGGGCTATTGCAGACAGAAACAATACTGTACTACATAGATGTTTCCTGTCAGCTCGATTTTTGAGTGGACTTTGCTGTTCCGATTCGCATGAACGGTATACGAGTGGAGCGACTGAGCGGAGCGGACACGCATAGAGCGGGATAATACGCAGAGTGTCACACCACGTGAAAGTGAAACCTGAGCGGTGCACTCATTTTCGGCAGCCGGAATTTCGGCGCATCTCTAATTATTGGCGACATCAGAAATGAATATTATATAATAGATGCTTTTTTGAATATTTTAGCAATTTAAAAATATTAAAAAATGATTTTTTACACGGCACCCCTGCTCTCGACAGACGGCACCCCGGTTGGGAAACACTGCTGTAGACAACAGAAAGAACTCTAAGTAACTAATGAAATGTAATAGGGCTGGGCGATAAATCGATAACGATAATTATTGCGATATAATAGAAACAGATAGAAATACTATTACATAATGAAATAGATAACGGTTCATTTTGTAAGGTCTTTATACACCTCTGAAAACATAGTTATGTATATTATATTGCATTTCTGTCCATAGATCCTCCTAAATATTACACACTGCACCTTCAAAACCAATTGAAACAGCGCTGACAAGCAGCAGAAACACCGTGTGCAACGATACAGTCAGAAGACCTTCAGTCTACTAATCACCATCATTTACCATGGATTTACTGTAGTAGCACTAACTGCACCATGGTATTGAGACAGAAATGTGGGATATTCATGCTGAATTTCATTATAATATTAATGTATGCATGTATTAAAGGAGTAATGAATATAATTACAATGTTTTTGTGATTAAGCCACAGCATTTGTGAATTTACACTAAATGTTTTTAAGACTACTGTTTTTCATACAAACCTAAACCTAAACACCATATGTGACCCTGGAGCACAAAAGCAGTCTTAAGTCGCTGGGGTATATTTGTAGCAATAGCCAACAATACATTGTATGGGTCAAAATTATAAATTTTTCTTTTATGCCAAAAATCATTAGGATACTAAGTAAAGATCATGTTCCATGAAGATATTTTGTACATTTCCTACCGTAAATATATCAAAACTTAATTTTTGATTAGTAATATGCATTGCTAAGAACTTCATTTGGACAACTTTAAAGATGATTTTCTCAATATTTAGATTTTTTTGCACCCTCAGATTCCAGATTTTCAAATAGCTGTATCTCGAGCAAATACTGTCTGTATAATATATAATGTATAAATCTTATTATGCTTATGACTGGTTTTGTGGTCCAGGGTCACATATAGTTATATTTTTACCATGGTATCAAGGTGTACTATATGTGTGGTTTTAACTGTGTTTATTATGATCTAAATGTATGCTACTACTGAAGAAATAAAAAAAGTTAATAAATTTTTTTTTTTTTTTTAACTCAAACAGTCAGAATAATTACATTTCGCCATATTAAAATGAGGTTGCTACAATTTTTACAGATGTTACTGATTTTTATAATGAACAAAAATGTGCATCTGCATCCTAACTCAAGCTATTACTATCTGATTACGATCAAGTGTGCATTACTTAGAGACAAAACGTAATATTATTAATATTATCAAGCAACACAAACCTGTTTCTTGATTTGAAACATTATCACTCATTAGAACACGCAGAAACTAAGAAGTTAATTTTTCTATTAAGATATTTATTTTGTTAAGAAAAAAATGACAGGAAAAGTGTAAAGAATTCAAAACGTGAAGTGTTTGTCGTGTTCTGACCACAATAATTTTTCAAATTTTTTCTTATGCTCTAAACAATGTAATGACATGACAAAATACTAAATTCACAAAACTGTTTTTTCCTGGTAGTCAGGAGGTTAATGCTCTGGTTTCTTTAACTTTCTCTTTGAAGCAAAAATCTGGCTTTAAACTTGAAATAAATAAAGATTAGACGTTTATCGTGATAACTATCGATATCGACTGATACGAAAAAAATGATCTTTTTTTTTGGCCATATCGCCCAGCCCCATGTAAGTAAATGACATTGCTCGTGTGTCTCAGATTTGACAGCTGTAGTGTTTAAATGAGATGAAGCATTTACACTGAACCTCTGGGAAACAGCCTCTATTTCTCAAGTCTCTGTGACGTGTAAAGGAGGGTCGGACAGACAAGCGCAGTGTCTCAATGCCATCGTGACGAGACACGCTCAGGCTTTCAGACAACATGATTAGCAGCTTGTGAAGCAGTTATTTCTGTGACAACACCCACATCCAGCATCTCGCCGGCTGAGAGACAAGGCTTATGGGAGCATTAGTCACGGGCAGAACAGGTTTGCTTTCTTAGCTTGAGTATGAAGAGCATACAAGGCTCTACAGAAACGCTTGTGGGAACGGCGTGAAAGCAGAACATGAGTGTGTTTGAGCCACACACTCACATGAAGCATCTACAGTATTCAGAGTGACTGTCAGTTCATGGGCTTTTGCTGCCATCTAGTGCACCATTCCCTGATGAGTCCAACACGGTGTTAGTTTCCACCGTTTGACCATCCAGAGGACGACAGACCACCGTCAGGAAGCTTGTTTGAAAACACTTCAGCTTCAAATAACTGACTGATTAGCAGTCTCTTTGTCACCAACTAACATACTGCATCATGGGTAGGATGTGATAAACGTGTTTGGGTCATTCTGTGTCACATCAACTTGGCTAAAATACAACAAATATAAATCACGAAAACACGAAAGCCAAAATTAATGAATATATACTGAGTAATATAAGCTGTATGAAAAGTGACCCACATTGGTTTTTCAAACATTAAAAATGGGTACAATTCAACTATTTGGACATGGAGCCAAACTGAGAATATGGGAATGAACCAAACAGGGCTTTAAAATAACGAAACCAACAGGAAGGTTTACTAAGAACCAAAATCTAAAAGCATATTGAAGTACGTTTAATACTAATTGAGTTACAGGCAAACATCGGAAAAATAACATTTATAGTTCTGAGACAGGTGTGTTCAATGCAATTGTTTTTGATACTTTTGTCTTCAGATATTGCTTACGGTTTTTGACCCGTGAAAATTTGTACAACTGAACCATTTGGACATATTGAGATCTCAATATATCAGGAAATGAACCATAGAGGGCCTAAAAATGGTGATACAAAATGAAAAGCTTGTTAAGAACTAAAATGCAATAGGATATTAAGATACATTTAATACTTCTTGAGTAAACTTTGGGAAGAAATGCTTGAAAAGTGCTTTTCCCCATTTCTGAATGGTCACCATTGGCACATAATGCAACAAAGATTGCTAAAGTCAACAGATCTACTAATCTCTCTGTAAAATAACATAACGATGCTGCAATCTTTCTGAAGTCATTTTTACCCTCCTGTAATCTGGCTCTGAATCTCAGGTGAAAATTGTCGTTTTGACGGCCCTCTGCAAGATAGTGGATTACTCAGTACACATGCATCCATGACATTTAACATTTTGGCATATCTGTGCATTTCTTTCAACACAAACAGAAATGATAAAAGACTTAGACTTGGACCCATGGTTGAGTTGATACAGAATGACACAATTTGATTTCGGATCATTTTAACAATAGAGACTGGGTGCATTTAGGCCACGCCCACACCGGGGGGGAACATTCCCAACGCTCTCCATTGACTTTGTGTTGCGGGAAGCTGCTCATTTCTGACTTATAACAAAAAAACAGAACAATGTCTAAAAGCTGCTGTGTGACAAGGTGTACAGCAAACAAGGATTTGAAAGTTGGACTGTGACTTACACACTGGGCACCCAGAGCCGGACCGTCTTGTCTCTGGACGCGGAGGCCACGAGATGACCGGAGGGAGAGAACTGGACACTTGTCACCGCGTCCTTGTGCCCCTCAAACCTGTAGGCCCTCATCTGAGGCCTGGTGTTCCAGATCATGACACACGCATCCACAGAGCCGCTGGCTGAAACACACACACACACAGACAGACACAGACACACACACAGACAGATACAGACAGACACAGACACACACACACTCTCACACACACACAGACAGACACACACACACACAGACAGACACACACACACACAGACACACACAGACAGACACACACACAGACACACAAACAGAGAGAGATGAAGAGCAGGCAAACACTGCCAACACCTGCCATCTTACACAGATACTTCAAGTCTTAGCTTTGATATATTGGGTTTAACGTTAATGTGTAAGACAGTAACATTTCATCACTGTAAGCTCATTTGTTGGAGAGAAAGACCTAACGTTACCTATTTGCTTCATGTTAGAGCTGAAGTCCAGGCTGGTGATGGCGTCTCTGTGACCCTTAAAATGCCTCTCAAGGGTCGGATCATCCTGAATCAAAGACAAACACAAGTCACACCGAGATATCAATCATATTAATGATAGTTTAAGACGCACTCACCATGACAGAGCTCATGTTCAGACTGATCTAAAGCAATGAAGAAAACAATCACAGAGAGGACTGTAAGTCAGTCGGTCCATTCATTCACAGTCTGTGCTTTGTTTACATGCTAGCTTCACTCTCCAGCTGTCAGCGCGCTCAATCTCAAGCTCAGAAATGATAGAAATCCCACAAAACAACTTCAGACGAACATACAGCTGAAGTCTCGCTTTGAAGATAAAAGTCGTCAGATTAACAGCGTGTTTGACGAAGCTAACCGGTTGCTAAGGGCTGACGGTTGGTTGCTATCAGCTTTCGTTTTACCCGCCGTAGTTGGCGCGTGCGCGTACGTCGCTCGAGGCCCCGCCCACAAACGTCACGCGGCGTCTTAAAGGAGACGCGCCCTCTCAGAGAGTCAAATCTGCAAGTCATGATGAACGGTCCACTTACAGAAGCGATAGTCATCACATTATAAGAGCAAGTCCAAACAGAGCAAGCGATGAACACAGGGTGGCGGTAAAGAGCTATGATGCTTTTTGCCATACTGCCAATATATGTAATAAAATATAAATACAAATATTATTATAAGAAAAAATAAAATCTACTTCTGTTATTTAATGTAATTAATAATAATGTTATATATTTAAAAAAAATTTATTTGGCTAATTAGTCATTTATTTTTAATGAGTTATCTTTTTAACCCCTTAAGTGTCCCCCCCCCCCCCACACACACACTTTAGAATACAGGCATAAGGTTGGACTCTTTCTTAAGAAGAATCATTTCAAAATATGAGAGTACGAAAAAGTTATAGACATTTAAATTTACTGTAAAGAAAATGCACTGTACCAATTTTTCTATTATTTTATATATAATAAATATTTTACTAAATATTTTTGAATCCAAAATTGCTATAAAATTAAAGCCTTATGTCTACATAAATTATGTTCCACATTTGAAGTTGATATAAAAAAAAAATGTAGGTTACCGTGAGATTGTATTGAGGGCGTTATACCACAAACAGCCACCAGGTGGCATTCAAACTCCATTAGAATCTTTTTATGCATTTTTTTTTTCTGTCACAAATGTCTAAATTTCTCTGTCAATATTACTTCTATCACAAAATATCCACCGAATATGGAATCCTGAGACTCAGACGGTATGTATTTTGTCAAGATTATAAAAAGTTTTAATTCTAAAAGAACTAATACATTTAATAATATGACACTTGACACCGCCCACTAAGGTGGAGGAGACAGCTAAACGATATTAAAGTCCCATTTCCATTTAAGCTTTCAAATTATATATCATTTATGATGATTGCTAAAATATGTTATAGAGGAAAAAAAGACAAGGACAAAAGAGTGCCAAGCGATGACACTTATGGGGTTAATACTATTTTATACATTATACTGTACGTCGACCTCTGACCTCTGCTAGCCAGTTCTGCTAACCTCTGTACAGACATCAGGACTCTTGTGTCTTTACCTGCTCAGTCATCATGAATAAACACTTCATCTGCACTGTCTGTGTGTTTATGTGCTGAGCTGCGGCTTGTTTCTTTATCAGTGATAGCTCTCAAATCAGTGTGATGTAAGACTTTATAATACAGCTATTTATTCTACTGACTGTCGTACTTTATATTAATTCGACATGGTTAGCATAATAACCATCATTGTTTAAGCATATTTGTATTCCTGACTCATTCCTTGTGGTTTTAATAACACAACCGCTAGGTGGCAGGAGTGACCTTTTTACCAAATCTGAATGTAGGTCGCTGTGAGTGTATAGTGTGCACAATACATAATCTCATCCAAAGTATACACAGCTAGTCTCCATCTCCAGTACATGTGTGTCAGCATTACTCCTTTAAATATTCAGTTTTAGTGAAGGAATATGAATATGCATGAATCAAACAGGAAATGAAATCCTGACGATCTACCAGAACTGCTCAAGATGAGTGTTTCCTTGTTCACAGAAAAATAAAGCCAGATCAAATAAGGAAATGCATGGACAATTACCTGTGCTGTTTTTCTTTTCTGTTTCTTTTTTGGTGTTAATAAATGACTCACGATTAATAAATGGCTTTTCCATCTTTCATGAGAACGCCGAGTCATTTTATTGTCATTTATGAGAAGGGAGTTTCTAGTGATTGATTTTGGGCTGTAACTCATGTTCCTGTTACCGACAGCGAGATTCAATGAGGAAACATCGGTGTGTTTTATTTTGTTTTTATGACAATTGCTCTTTCTGTCTGAACACTAAACTCTCAACATGACTGTAGGTTCATATGGGCTTCGACTCCTTCTGGCCTTGAACTCTCTAAGAAAAGGGCATTTTGACAGGGTTAATATTACACCTGTTTAACTTTTCACCTGTTTGGCATTTCATGCTGTTTAGTTGATTGATATCTCAGCAATAAACCTCATAAGGGGAAAGGTTAGACATTGCCTTAAGAAGATTCGAGAAATGACATCCCTGTTGAAAAAAACAGCATATGCTGGTTAGGAATGTTTTGACGTTGGGATGCTGGTTTAAGCTGGTCCTTTGCTGGTTTATGTTGGTCATGTGCTGGTTTAAGCTGGTCCTTTTGCTGGTTTATGCTGGTCCTTTGCCAGCACATGACCAGCATAAACCAGCAAAGGACCAGCTTAAACCAGCAAAAGGTCCAGCATAAACCAGCAAAGGACCAGCTTAAACCAGCAAAAGGTCCAGCATAAACCAGCAAAGGACCAGCTTAAACCAGCAAAAGGTCCAGCATAAACCAGCAAAGGACCAGCTTAAACCAGCAAAAGGTCCAGCATAAACCAGCAAAGGACCAGCTTAAACCAGCAAAAGGTCCAGCATAAACCAGCAAAGGACCAGCTTAAACCAGCAAAAGGTCCAGCATAAACCAGCAAAGGACCAGCTTAAACCAGCAAAAGGTCCAGCATAAACCAGCAAAGGACCAGCTTAAACCAGCAAAAGGTCCAGCATAAACCAGCAAAGGACCAGCTTAAACCAGCAAAAGGTCCAGCATAAACCAGCAAAGGACCAGCTTAAACCAGCAAAAGGTCCAGCATAAACCAGCAAAGGACCAGCTTAAACCAGCAAAAGGTCCAGCATAAACCAGCAAAGGACCAGCTTAAACCAGCAAAAGGTCCAGCATAAACCAGCAAAGGACCAGCTTAAACCAGCAAAAGGTCCAGCATAAACCAGCAAAGGACCAGCTTAAACCAGCAAAAGGTCCAGCATAAACCAGCAAAGGACCAGCTTAAACCAGCAAAAGGTCCAGCATAAACCAGCAAAGGACCAGCTTAAACCAGCAAAAGGTCCAGCATAAACCAGCAAAGGACCAGCTTAAACCAGCAAAAGGTCCAGCATAAACCAGCAAAGGACCAGCTTAAACCAGCAAAAGGTCCAGCATAAACCAGCAAAGGACCAGCTTAAACCAGCAAAAGGTCCAGCATAAACCAGCAAAGGACCAGCTTAAACCAGCAAAAGGTCCAGCATAAACCAGCAAAGGACCAGCTTAAACCAGCAAAAGGTCCAGCATAAACCAGCAAAGGACCAGCTTAAACCAGCAAAAGGTCCAGCATAAACCAGCAAAGGACCAGCTTAAACCAGCAAAAGGTCCAGCATAAACCAGCAAAGGACCAGCTTAAACCAGCAAAAGGTCCAGCATAAACCAGCAAAGGACCAGCTTAAACCAGCAAAAGGTCCAGCATAAACCAGCAAAGGACCAGCTTAAACCAGCAAAAGGTCCAGCATAAACCAGCAAAGGACCAGCTTAAACCAGCAAAAGGTCCAGCATAAACCAGCAAAGGACCAGCTTAAACCAGCAAAAGGTCCAGCATAAACCAGCAAAGGACCAGCTTAAACCAGCATCCCAGCGTCAAAACATACCTAACCAGCATATGCTGTTTTTTTTAACAGGGATGTATTTGATCTTTATTGTATTATTTATATAATCTTAGAAACCCTATGCTTTTCTTCCCTTTAACAGATGCAATATACACCCAGCAGCTAAACACACTGTAGAAATGATGAAAACCCTTACAAGGAGCTTGTAATGTCCTTATGAGCTTCCCACTAACAGGTATGGGGTAAGTTGTCACACAGGGAGCACGCCATTAAATGCCCTATCACAGCATTTACAAGAAAATGTAATGGTAAAACGATCATTAATGAAACAAAAATTCATGAAACAGTAACACACAGAAGAATCAAAGCACTGCAGCATGTAACACACACGTCACTCAGACCGGATGAGTCTTCTAAACAGAGAACGGCTTCCGCTCTGGATCGTCTCGCTCTCGTTAGCGTGACAGGAGCTCCGTTATCTCTGTCCATTGTTTCACATCTTCTCCTGCATCAGTGCCAAAATCTCCTCCACCCCAGAATGAGAAAGTCAGGTCAAAGTCAATGGTACACATACCTAAGCAAACATCACTAATTAGTGAATCGTGCATGTTTAATGGCATTGGACTTTTGCGTCAAAATAAAGCAGTGTGTGGAAATGAGCTGCTGCTGAAGGTCGGATGAGGACATAATGAAGTGTTAAACTACAAATAATTCACTAAACATGCCGGTCAAAATCTGATCACGCTTTAACATCTCTCATAATCCAGCTAAATCAACTGATGATGATGATGGGATTCACGGTGTGTAGTCTGGTCACTTCAACTCCTTTCTTTACTTCATGAGAACATGCTTGCTTTGTTGGTTAATGCCATTCCAGCTTCCTTTGCTATTTTCATAGTGACTAACAAGTATTTTAGCCGACAGGCCAAGAAAATATGATCATATTACCCCAATTTTACAGTCTCTGCACTGGCTAGTCCGCATTTATTTGATCCAAAGTACAGCAAAAACAGTACAATTTTGAACATTTTTTACTATTTAAAATAACTGTTTTGTATTTGAATATATTTTAGAATGTAATTTATTCCTGTGATCAAAGCTGAATTTTTAGGATCATTACTCCAGTCACATGATCCTTCAGAAAGCATTCTAATATTCTGATTTGCTGCTCAGAAAACTATTATTATTATTAGTGTTGTTATTATTATGTTGAAAACAACTGAGTAGAAAGCATATTAGAATGATTTCTGAAGGATTATGTGACACTGAAGACTGGAGTGATGCTGCTGAAAACTTCGCTTTGATCACAGAAATAAATTACATTTTAACATATATTACATTTTAACATATATATATATATATATATATATAATGGTAAAAAATGGTTTACAGTGCAGTACCACAATTGGATTGTTTTTTACAGGTAAAAAATGTTTAAACTAAATGAAAATAAACTCTACAGTACTGATACTGTAAATGAAAATACGGTAATAATACTGT